CCTACAGTCTCAGGAGCAGCATGTACTTCCTTATTAATAGCATTTCTTTTCTCTCAGTCTTGCCAGCACTGGGTATTTTCAGTGTGCACTTAAAAAAACTGACATGTGAAAAATCATGCCTCAATATTTCAGTTTACATTTCTCTGAACACACTTTTATTTGTTTAATGACCATTCATATTTTTTCAGAGAATTTCTTGTTCAAAATTTGCTCAGTCTTCCAGTTGATTTTTAAAAATTCTTCATAGATTCCAGACACTAATATTTTTTCCCTTGTCTTTTTAGCATTGCTTTAGGTCCCCCACTCAAGATTTTTGTTGTAAATTAGATAGGGGTTTACCTTTCAGACCAACTTTGTGCTCAATAGTTGAAGCCACTAGTCAACCCTCCCACTCGTTTACCCATCTCCAGCTCCTTTATTTTTCTTCTCCATCTTGTGAACTCCTGTCTTCCAATTCTTTAGTTTTTAACAACCCTTTTCTTTTTGTGTAGCCAAACAATCCATCTTTCATGTTTTGATATTGCTTATAATAGCTTTAGCTACCCTAAGCTTAGGGGGAAAAACTGTACATTGTTTCTTCTTATTTACTTACTTATTTATTTACTTCCCAGTGTGCTAAAACAGATCGGTTCAGAGGCAAGTCCTAGGTGGTAAATATTTTGAATGCTTTCATATTGAGCTTGCTCCTTAGAACTGGATTCCAGACTGCATGTGAGGGAAAGGATAAGCCTTTTATTTTTATTTTTGCTCTACAGAAGGATACCGGCACTCTGAGCTGTTTCTTTGGATCATTGTGGCTGTTTTCATTTCACTTCTCAGCGCCTGTTTTATTGCAAGCTGTTTAAGTAAGTTATTGCCCAAAGTGGAGATTTTCTAAATTTATTTCGGCCATTTGTCAATGGTCCCTCAGCATATCACCTCCATAATGGCTTCAGGATCTTGGCTTTAAATTCAGAGTTACATAGTAGTCTACTTGCTATCCTTTGGTGGCTCCTACATAAGGATTGAAAGAGGAAACTTAGAGCATTTTTGTCTATAATGAGGTTGGTGCGATAACAAATCACCCACCATTTTGGACTGGGACTACAAAGGACTGCGTCTTATGAGTGAAGAATAATCAACAAAAAGCAACTTTCAGAGGGACTTCAGTGTAGCACTGAAAAGCACAACAAAGTAGAAAAAACTGGTTCTTCCTGCTACCAATACCTAATATGAAGCGACTATAATAACATAATTAAGGCACAAGAAAGACAGAATAGAATAGTAAACTTAGTTATGGATTATGCATATATCAACTTTTAAACTAATGAAGTAGATATTGCAAAATTAAAGGGAAAAGACATTTTTGTTCAACCAAAGTTGCTGGCACAATTCATATTAACATTGGTCTCTTCTCTCATATGATCTACAGCGTACAATTCCAGGTGGATTATTGCCCAATATGTGAAAAGTAAATCAATACCTCTTCTTAGAAGAGAAATAAGCTTAATGACCTTGAGGGAGGAGGAAACTTTTCTTAACAAGTCAGAAAAGCTGTAGCTAGTAAAAATAACAATACAAGCTATAACACAATAAAAATAAACATCACTGACAATAAAATAGATCACTAACAGATTGAAAACAGAAAACTATAGGAAAGTATTTTGGTAATACATATAATTGATAAACAATTATTGTTGTTAATGCCATTGAATTAGCGATTTATGTCCTCGAGGATGTATACTTCAAAATACTCAAACAGTATGGTTCACAATGGCCAATCGCTGGAAACAATGGAAATATCTATGGCAGAATATTGTATTTTAACGCACTAACATCATAGATGACTTTACAAGTACAGACAAATTATAGCTGCATGTAACATGGGTACATTTTTGAAACTATGCAGAGGTAAACAAAAAGAATATAACTGAATCATTCCATTTATATAAAATTCAAAGAGAAGGAAATTGATCTACATGGTTTAGCGATATGTTGTTAAGTAGTGCAATTGCAAAGCAACTTACAGAAATGATTACTTTTAAATGCCCGAGGTCCGTGG